AAACCACCAGCCCACTCCCCAGGAGCAATAGGAGGCTTTCTACTCCTGTGAAGAATTACAGTCTCAGAAACCCACAGGGGCAGTCTGTCCTGCCCTGGAGGGTCGCTAGCAGTTGACATTCAGACTCTGCTCAGGTTTCATATGCGCAGGAGGCGACCCTAGATTGACCCAAGCAAGTGGCATCTTTGCTTGGGAGAAACTCCAATGGGGGTCGTTGGCAGCGGCGTGGCAGCACTTGGGTGCCCAGGGTTAGACTGAGAGGCCGTGGCACGGATGTGGCTAAAGCAATAGTTCAGGCTACCAAAAACGAAAAGGAGAATGCAGACCATGGCATACAATCCGCAGTCACTGTCGGACAGGCTGCACAGAGGACCATATTTCTGATTTCTACGAATATAGCCTGGTGGGGAAATAATTCAGCACCACGTCTGGAAAGAACCACAGCGAAGTCGACAGTGATGTTCTAGTGTGAACCCCCTGAGTGGTACAATACCTTTAAGTGTTCATCAACTAACCCAAAGGTGGGTGCTCCAGGTCCACGTACGGAGCGGTGCCTCGGAAGAAAGGTCTGGAGTGCTCCTTCCGAAAAACCAATCGTGGGAAACCACGGAGAACCGTGGCTTCCTTTGCCGTGAGATCAGAAGAACTGGCTTGTGCCCAGCTCCTGTGACAAAACACTTGGAACTAAGATTCTATAGCAGGGAATCTTATCAAAAGGGAAGAGGATTGCAGAACACAATTGTAAATTTGTAAGGGGTCCAGATTATCTGGAGCCAAGAAGGCTAGATAACCCCCGGAGGCGATCTTTCGCCCTTGAACCAAAAAATTAGCCTTCAAGTCTCTTTACATAAATACACCAACTAATAATCCAGCTCAGCGGTTCTCAACCTTCCTCATGCTGCGACCCTTTAATAGTTTCTCATGTTGTAGTGACCACCAACCATAAAATTATTTTCATTGCTACTTCATCACTGTCATTTTGCTACTGTGATGAATCAGGCGACACATGGGAAAAGGTCATTCGACCCCCAAAGGGGTCTCGACCCACGGGTTGAGAACCGCTGATCTCGCTGACTTCATGAA